ACGATAAAGAACAATGATGGATCTGAGAAACATCGCACACCATGGATGAATCTGGAAGGCAGTATGCTGCGTGAAATTAGTCAGTCACAAAAGGACAAATGTTGTATGAGACCACTATTATAAGAACTCAAGAAAAGGTTTAAACAGAGAAGAAAACATACTTTGATGGTTATGAGGGTGGGGAGGAAGGGAGAGGGGTATTCACTAACTAGATAGTAGACAAGAATCATCTTAGGTAAAGGAAAGGACAACACACAATACAGGGGAAGTCAGCACAACTGGACTAAACCAAAAACTAGGAAGTTTCCTGAACACAACCAAACACTTCGAGGGAGAGAGTAGCAGGGACTGGGGTCTGGGGACCATGGTTTTGGGGAACATCGAAGTCAATTGGCATAAGAAAATTAAGAAAGTGTTCTGCATTCCACTTTGGTGAGTGGTATCTGGGATCTTAAAAGCTTGCGAGCGGCCATCTAAGATGCATCAATTTGTCCCAACCCCCATGGGGCAGAGGAGAATGAAGAACACCAAAGACACAAGGAAAATATTAGCCCAAGAGACAAAAGGACCACATAAACCAGAGACTCCATCAGTCTGAGACCAGAAGAACTAGATGGTTCCTGGCTACCACCAATGACCACCCTGACAGGGAACACAACAGAGAGTCCCTGACGGAGCAGGAGAAAAGTGTGGTGAAGAACTCAAATTCATGTAAAAAGACTAGACTTAATGGTCTGACTGAGACTGGAGGAACCCTCGAAGCCATGGCCCCCGGACGCTCTTTAAACCCAGAACTAAAACCATTCCCAAAGTCCACTCTTCAAACAAAGGTTAGACTGGATTATAAAACATAAAATAATACTCGTGAAGAGTGTCCTTCTTAGTTCAAGCAGATACATGAGACCAAATGAGCGGTTCCTGTCCGGAGGCAGGATGAGAAGACAGGAAGGGACAGGAGTTGGTTAGATGGACATGGGAAACCCGGGATGGAAAGGGGGAGTGTGCTGTCACATTATAGGGATTGCAACTTGTGTCACATAACAATATACGTATAAATTTTTGTATGAGAAATTAACTTGAGCTGTAAACTTTCACCTAAAGCACCATTAAAAAAAAAGAAAAGAAAATGAATCCAATGTATTAGTTTCCCAGAACTGCTGTAACAAATGCCACGAAGTATGTAGCTTTAAACAACAGAACTTTATTGTCTCACAGTTGTGGAGGCTAGTCATTGAATTCAAGGTGTTGGGCAGGGCCATGTTCCCTCCTAAGGCTCCAGTGGAAGATCGTTTCTTGTCTCTCCCAGCTTCTGGTAGGCGTTCCTTGATGTGAAGATGGCACGTTCACATATCTGTTTTTCCTCTGTCTCTCTTCTCCTCTTTTATAAGAACAACACTCAGATGGCATTAAGACCTACCCTACTCTGGTAATGACCTCATGTTAACTGATAATATCTTCAAAGACCCAATTATTTCCAAACAAGGTCACATTCACAGGTATGGGGGTTAGAACATTAACACATCATTCTGGGGGACACAATTCAATCCATAACAACGGCCAAGAGAGATTCTGCCAGGGGATGAGTCATCCTCAGCAGAAAAAGGTTGGCTACCCTCAAGTGTGAAACTTGAGTTACCTGCTCATTCCGTGTACTAGTTACCCAGGTTATACCTCTATTGACTTTTCTTAAATGTAGCACATATGTGAAGAGTTCATTCTGGAAGATTAGAAATTAAGACTTAAAAAAATTGATACTCAAGACAATGGGGAATAAGCATTATGAGATCATGAAGTAAACTTCCTGTATACATTAGATATCTTTTTATCTTACCATTTTACTCAAGCTAGATTTTATTAAACAAATTAAATGGAAATGTTAGTGATTGTCCTCTGAGTTTGTGATGTGTTAACTTAGCTATCTCACAACCAAATTGCCAATCTTTAGTTTGTGATATACATATAAAGCCCCAAAGACTTTTAAACATATGGAAGCACTTTTATGAAGTACACAGCCTTATGTCAGGTTATGAACATTTTTACACCAAAGTGATTTTTCACATTGAGAATGGTGTAGGATTAGGTTTGCCTACATGCAATAGAATCCACAAATCAACAGTGGTTGTTCACAGAAAGCTTCATTCTTTCATCTGAAAAATCTAATGGAAAGCAGGCCAGGACTGGTATAGAAGTCCCACAAATTTGTCAGGGACCTACTGCTGCCAGATTTCTGCTCTGCCGTCCTTTCGATAGGGCCCTTGTCATTAAGGTCCAAGATGACTGCTGGAAACCAGTCATTATGTCCACATTCCAGGTAGCAGGAAGAGAAAAGCAGAAGGACTTTCCCTGGAAGTTGTATAAACTACTTACTCTTAGCCCAGTTGCCCAGAACAAGTCACTGGTCATATATAACTATAATGGAGGCTGGGAAATGTGTTCTGCAAGGCCACATGCCCAGTTAAAATTTAGAGAAGCCCTGGTGACACAGTGATTAACAACTTGGCTGCTAACGAAGGTCGGCGGTTCGAATCCATCGGCCGCTCTTCGGAAACCCTATGGGGCAATTCTACTCTGTCCTATAGGGTCACTGTGAATCCAAATTGACTTGATGGCAACAAGTTTATTACTGAGGAAGAAGGGGAAGTTTAATATTGAAGGATAACATTTGCTTCTGATACAGGTGACATATAGAGATTAAGAGCAGGCTCTGGAGTCAGATGGCTTCAATTTGATTCTTAGCTCCAGCACGTACTAGGTTGTAACTTGTTACTTTCCTTAGAAGTGCGGGCCACACTTTTATATAAATAGATCCTTTTTTAAACTCTCCTCAGTTCCCCCATTGATTGCACTTTTCCTTCCGAGACCATGTTTGATACACTACCCTCAGAATTGTTTTGAGTATTTAATAAAGTAATGCATATAGAGTGCTTAATGCAGTGTCTAACGCAGAATAAGCACTTGATAAATTTAAGCTCCACTAATGCAAATATTGGGGCAAACCCTATGGGGGCAGTTCTACTCTGTCCTATAGCGTTGCTATGAGTCGGAATTGACTCAACAGGAACGGATTTTTTAATGCAAATATTATCTGTTTCTTTTTACTCCTCATTTCCTGTTTGGTAATCTCTCTTATTTATTTATTTATTTATTTTATTGTACTTCAGGTGAAGGCTTACAGAACAAATAGTTTCTCATGAAACAGTAGTACACATGTTGTTTTATGACGTTGGTTAACAACCCCTCAACATATCAACCTTCTAAGTAATCTCTTTTTTTAAATACAATTTTCAAAGGTGTTGATGGACATGTTGAAATATTTTACTGCTGAAAATGATCAGCACATACCTAAGGTTAATTTTTAAGTCAACCTTACAGCATTAAAACAAAATGATGGCTAATAATTTTTTTGAAAAGACATCTCTTCTTTTTTGTTAAAATATAGAATATGGTATCCAATACAGCATCCTGTACCATTGACTTGCGAACCTGGGAATCTAAGAGGAAGAGACATTGAGCTAGGACATATGGGTCAGAGCTGGGAATTTGGGCTGGGAGGCTGTGATTCAGGAGATAGAAGTCTTACAGGGCAGTGATGGGAGAAGCCCAGGACCTAGAGAGCCATGGAGTAGGCCAGGGAGCCAAGACCGGAGACTGAAGTTAAAAATGCTTTGAATAGGGTAGATTTCTAGTTATAGCAGAACCTTATGACTGACGCAAAATGGCCCAAAGGCGCTTGACTGTGGCTGTGATACTCTTAGAGGTGAAGATGGTGAGACTTCATCTCACATGCTTTGGACATGTTATCAGGAGGGACTAGTCCCTGGAGAAGGACATCATGCTTGGTAAAGTAGAGGGTCAGCGAAAAAGAGGAAGACCATCAACGAGATCCATCAACGAGATGGATTGACACAGTGGCTACAACAATGGGCTCAAACATAGCAATGATTGTGAGGATGACACAAGACTGGACAGTGTTTCATTCTGTCGTACATAGGGTTGCTATGAGTCAGAAATGACTCGACAGCACCTAACAACAACAACATAATACTCTTGCTGTTGAAGTCTCTAGGTTCCTAAAGAGTGATGTCTTTTTTTAAACAGACTCTAGTGGAATCAATGTGTTATGGGACTTCATTGAATGCCTTGAGAAACCTAGTCTTCAGGTTTGGGGAAAATAATGGGTTCTCTTGGTGGTGATGAATTCTGGTTCTCTACTCTGACCTTTCACATTTGTGATTTCTAGATTTTTTATGGAGAAAATATTGAATCTTCAGCATCCATTTTTGTTCCTAAAATGTCCTAGATGCCACCTGTGGCACTTCTGTGATTGGTCTGAATGCATCTTACAATTCACAGATGTCCTCATAGTAGTAATTGCTTGATAATTCACTGAAATATCCTCTATGATAGAGAATGGATAATAATAATACTGATGGTGGTGAGGACAATGATGATATCTGAAGTCCTTTGTGACTTAAAAAGTGATTGCCACAAACATTTTCTTACTTCCCAAAAAAACCCAAACCCGTTGCCATCTAGTTGATTCTGACTCATAGCGACCTTATAGGACAGAGTAGAACTGCCCCATAGAGTTTCCAAGGAGCGCCTGGCAGATTTGAACTGCTGACCTTTTAGTTAGCAGCTGTAGCACTTAACCACTATGCCACCAAGGTTTCCATTTTCTTACTTAGGGAAGTTAAAATACACCAACCCTCAGAAAGACAAAGAAAGAAGTAGAAAGCAGGCAGAGTTTTTGGTTGAATGCAGCACTCTTCATTTCATAGAAACAATCAATTTGGTTTTTATTTTCCCAATCACACACGGTAAGGAATTGCCATCTTTACATATTTATGATGGAATAGTTGACCGTTATGAGATATATTACTTATTTTTTAATGCCAATTGAAGTTGAGAAGTAAAAATCAGAATGTACTCCAACAGAAATATATTTTAGTAACTGACCTTTTTTTGGTATTAATCCTATGTGGCTTCTATTATTCCAGATTTGGATATCAGAAACAAATGAACAGATGGCTCAAATTTCTTTAAAAACACAATTGGCTGAAATAAAGAGCAAGGCCTTATTGAATGAGGATACATTAAGCTCTGGGATTACTGAAAGGTAATCTTAATTCTTTCCTTTACTTACAGAGCATGCATGACAGGATAAGATTTCTATAAGCAGCAACGAAGTATAGAGGCCCAGCTACACATTACAGGAACACATTAAGCACGTTCTTCTCAAGCTCTCCTGATTTCTGCTCATGCTAAAAGCATTTTGTTCATGTTCTATATAACAGCTGGACTGGCATTCTAGTTATATGTATGTGTGTGTCCCCAGAGATCAAGAGTTCCTTGAGGGTGGGAAATGTTTCTTAGCCATTTCTGTGGTCCTGCAACCTGGCATAGTGCCTTCGCATGAGAGCACATGACATAGACATTGTCTTATCTTGTACTCATAGGAAAATACAGTTAAAGTAATGATAAGATGCTAAAATTTCCATTTACTTGTTGGAAAATTTTGTTTTTCAAGGTGCATAAAAGTTCCAAACACAAAGCCCCTTTTAAAAATAATCATCATAAAAATTCAGCGCCAAATTAGTTTTGTGTAGCTTTGAAAGTTTATACGTGGTAGTCTGACATGTTCTTTAAAACTTGTTACCTTGTTTTCAGGGACACTGGATTGCCTGCCACGGGCTTTGGAGCCATCTTTACTAGACATCCACCAGATCACCGCAAAATGTTAGTAGTTTCTAAACACTGCAGACTGTACAAAATGTTTCTTAATGACTTAGGATTTTTTTTGTAGTGGTCAAATGTGTGTGTGTACCAAGAGCAACAAAACTTTTGTCTGCCTCAGTTTCTTCATCTATAAAATGGGGATGATAATTATAAAGGCACCCAAGATATAGGTACCCAAGATAAGGATACCCAAGATATACATATATTAAGCAATTTAATATATGTAAAACAATCAGAATAGTAACTGATGCCCTTTATGTAGCATCTTACAGACTTCTTTAACAAAAGGGTTCTTTCTGCTAAAAATATGTAAAATAATAATAATAATAATATAACTAAGACTACTATTTTTACTGATGAAGAGAAATGAGTTTATTTTTTGATAGCATGACATGTTATTGCAAAAAAAAAGGAATTTTTCTTCTACTCTTCTTTCTAAAGACAATAAACTTAAATAATGTAATATCTGTAATGATGTATAGATAAGTGATGTGAAAATATAGGCACTTATAAGCATAAGAAAATTCTAAGTATTGGATTGTGCATTAGGAAAACATAATCTGAGTAAATATCATCATCACTGGAAATTAAGATGTTTTTGTTTCCTTTGAGAACTGCCTGACATTAGAACTAAGCTATTTTGCAGAGCCTACCTGGGAGAGTGTGCTAAAGGATAACACCCCACCCTGCGTCACAGCCATCTGTTGTAATTCTGGCCAGGTACTGGAGCTGTAGGTTCTAACCTTGATTGCTCCAGCAAGGCTGGCTTGGGCTTGCATCTCCCACAGCCTGGTGTAGCATCTCCAATGGGCTTAAGGGTCCACAGGAAGTATCCCCAGGGTGATCCTCAAGGAGGATGGGCTTCTGGCTCCTTTCCCTGCACTGAAATCTGCAAAGACATGGGAAGGCAGAATGAATCCAGAGGTAGGCTTTAATGAGTACATCAAAGGTGAGAAACCCTCAAGAAAACAAGGGACCAGAGCAGGAGAGGGCTGAAGGGTGAGAGGAGAGAAGAGAGAAGGGTTTACATCTCTAGATGGAATCTTGAGTCAGCCCAGGGTGGAAGCTGTGATCTCAGGGGGCCAGCTAGGACAGAAGCTTAATGAGTCTTGTCTATTGTATTTGCTAACTAGGACCTTTGGTTATATGCTCAAAGTTGCATTTTCTGCACTGACTTTATTGTTTTCAGTCCAGCACAGAAAATGAGACACCCAGGGCTCCAAATAATAGAGGCTTTGATGAAAACAGCCTGCCTTCCTGACACTTTGATTGCAGCACTGATATCGGTAATGCTAGTCACAGATGGACAGTAGGCCCCTGACTGGCCTCCCCTACCCCTAGTTAGAGAAAGCAGTTCCTTATATAGAGGAACTGGGCAGTGTATCCTAAGGAGAGACGGATGTCAGGGAAAACAAATGCGGTAAAGTCCCGAGAACTACAGTAGACGCACTCAACTCACATCTCCCACACTGACCGTGAAGACACCAGCTGGGCCTCCCTTGTCAATGGGCTGCCCATCTGATCATCAAAAGTGGAGGCAATTGGTAGTCTCAGGAATAATCTGGAGGAATTTCCAATTTAAAAAAAAATGATGACATATCCAAAGAGCAGAAGCATTATGAAGAACAATAAATTATAGACAACCTATACCAGAGGAATCGGGCACAATGGAACAGATGGTATGGGAATTTAAAATGTTATTACTTGGAAAAACAAAGGAATCTGTTGCAAACATAAAGCAAAATAGTAAAAATCAGATTAACTTCCCCACAGAAACATTGGATGCAGGAGTGCCACAAATAATATCATTAAAGTGTTGAAGGAGAAGAATTTTGAACGTAGGATTTTTAAAATGTGAGGGTCAAGCAAAGATATTTTCAGGCATACAAGGACTGGTTTCAGACTTAGCATCCTGCCATGAACAACCATGTTGTTGTTAGCTGCCAGCCCCCGACTCATGACGATCCCCCACACAACAGAACAAAACACTACCCATCCTGAGCCATTCCCTCAATCTGCTGTGGATCAATTGTGGATTGGGCCGTTGTGATCTGTAAGGTTTTCATCAGCTGATTTTTGGAAGTAGGTCACCAAGCCTTTCTTCCGAGTCTGTTTTAGTTTAGAAACTCTGCTGAAACCTGTTCAGCATCATAGCAGCATGTAAACCTTCAACTGACAGATGGATGTTGGCTGCACTTGATGTACATTGGCCGGAAATCTAACTCGGGTCTCCCATAAGGAAGGCAAGAATTCTACCACTGAACCACCACTGCCCCCAGGAACAATTACAGGGCTGGACGAAATATCTTAGGTGACTGTTTTCAGGTGTTAGACAGCAAACCGTGGGGGACTGTGCTCTTTGAGAATGGGAAGTGAGCATCACATTCTCCCCTTACTTAATGACAGGGGCACTTTTCCTGGCTACAGTGCAGGGAAGTGAGCCCAAGTGTAGATGACTGTTCTTGTTGAGCTGGGAGGTGGAATAGGAATTTAGGCTGGAATTTGCAGGGCAGGATTAGGAGAGGAGGAAGTTGTGTGTGTAGGGGGGTAGGAACAGAAGTCTTCATGGGCTTCCCTTCAGGTCCTTGGTCAAGGGCTGGGCTCTACACACGTTCTATCATGTATTACATACATCTGGTTTTAAAAATACAATAGAACTGTCTATACAGCCTTCTGAAATTTCATAATGGTGCTCCTTTGTGCATAGCAGTATTTATTGTGCAGTGGGCTGTGGTGCCATTTAGCCTGCATTCAAATCCTGGCTCTAGCACTTACTGGCTGTGTGATTTCGGGCAAGTTACTTACCCTCTGTGTGCTGTTTCTTCGTCTGTAAAATGGGCAGTCAGGATACAGGGTTGTTGTTAATATTAAGCAAGTTAATATACATAAAACAGAATAGTAACTGATGGATACACTGTAAGTGCTGTGCTAGTCTGTGCTGTACTGGACCCTTGGTGAACACTTTCCGTCAATAAACGCATATCCATTGAGGCAGATACATTTTCTTGATTTATTTGATTGGTGATTTATGCCTTCCATTTTCTCTGTTCTCTCTTTTTGGAAATCTTTTATCTGGATGTTAGATTGTCTGGACCAGTCTTTTCTCTCCTATTTTTCTTTTTGCAATATGCTTTCCTCTTTGTTTCTTCAAACTTACTATTGAGGGTATCATTTCTTCTGTCATATTTTTAATTTCCAAGGGTTCTCTTTTTGGTTCTCTGAATCTTCTGATTTTATAGAATCCTTTGTTTTTGTTTCATGGCTGTAATATCTTGTGTATCTATCTGGGGATGTTAATGATTGTTTTTCTTTAATTTTCTTCTCCACGTGTAGTCTGTTTCTTCCAAGTTGCTTTTTTTTTTTCCTTCTATTTTTTATTTTTGTGTATGGTATCTATCTTCCATGCTAGAGGCTTTGCTGGATGTCTGGTAATCAGTCCTTGGTTTTTTGATTATGATTAAGAGTTGGGACTCTGAGCCTGTGGGGAAGGCTTGTTTACTTGGAGCTTCACTGGAAGAATCTATCAGCCACTTATTTTATTTTATTGTGATAAAATATATATAACAAAAAGTTTGCCATTTTAACCATTTTCAAGTGTACAATTCAGTGACGTTAGTTACATTAGCCATGTTGTGCTATCATTACCACTATCCATTTCCAGAAGTTTTACATCACCCCAAATAGAAAGTAGTACCTCTTCAGCTGTCACTCCCATTTCCTCCTCCCCCAGCCCCTGGTATCCACTAATAAACTTTTGTCTCCATGCATTTGCCTATTCTAGATATTTTATGTGAGTGGGATCATACAATATTTGTCTTTTGATTTCACTAAGCATAATATTTTCAAGGTTCATCCATGTTGTAGCACATATCAGAATTTCATTTCTCTTTATGGCTAATATTTCATTGTATGGATATACCATATTTTGCTAATCCATTCATCTATTGATGAATGGGCGGGCCATTGCTTGTGGAAGCCCTGGTGTTGGTATTTCAGCCTTTCCTCTTGCGTTGGTCAGATTCCCCAGAAGTGGTTCCACCAATCTCTTACCTGAGAGGTGAAGGGCTGGCTGCCTGTCCTCTTGGAGTGAGCAGGGAAAACGGGCTGGGATTTCAGTATTCAGCCTTCTTTATGTATGGCCACAGAACCGTGCCTTTGATCACTGAGCCATTTCTGTTTTACCCTTTCTAGTGAATACATTTGTAGCCTTCTGTTGGAGTTGGGGAGGGGCAGTCACCCAGCAGTGGGGAGTGGGGAGTAGGGGAGCAGCGAAGGCGTTCTGGAGATCTAACTGCTTCTCAAACAGCTCTCCCCCATCCTTCTTTGTTCAGCTCCCCACCGCATCCCTAGTTCTAGAGGTACTGGGTGTATCCTGAGTCTCATGAGGCCTCTGCACAACACATCCATGGCCTCTCAGCTTTCCCCATGGCTGACTTAGGATTCAGTGTTCTGCTAAGTCAGTGACCACTTGTCCGTCTTCTCTCCAGCTTCCAAAATTTGTTTCTGTTGTCGCTTTTCCTGTTCTCCTTGTTCTTGTGAGTTTATTATTATTATTTTAAGAATCTTTTCAAAGTGGTTTCAGTAGAACTTTTGGAGAAAGCAAGATCAGGTGTATACATCCAATCTTAACCCTGAAATCATCAAGTCTCAACTGAAGTGCCATCTCCTTTGGAGGGCCTTGGTTAAGTCACGAACTTGGTTAAGTCCACCGTGACTTGGTTAAGTCCCTCGTTGTGTGTCCATAGCACTTCTTTTATCCTAACACTCTTCATCATTTTTTTTTTTGTAATTACTTGCATTCTTGTTTGTCTTCTTTGCTAAATCCAGTGCTCTGAAGGGCAGGACTATCACAGCTCTATTCCCCTTACCTAACAGAGTGCCTGGCCTACAGAGAATACACAATAATTATTCCTTGAATAAATAAATTAATTCTTTCTGATGTTGAAGAGCAAATTATAATGGACAAGCGATATGGCTACAAGGCCCGTAGAATAAAAAGT